GATAATATTTTGGAATTATTCGTATAAATTAATGTACATGGTGCTATAAAAGCTTCACGGATATTTTACTCAAACTATCTAAATACATTATAAAGGTAGGTACTCAGTTTTCTGAATGTAACAGAAAAAAAAATTTTAAAATTTTTTCATTAAAATTATAGGTATTTGATTTTGAATAATATTAGACTTTTATGAACATTTTTTGTAATTTGTAATTTTAACCCAAAGTGAACCGCAATCTATACTGAATTGCTTTTTTACATAGATATCTACTCAGTATATTACTCATAATAAAATCTGTTTTATGTACATTTACTATCCAACAACGTTTTTGCGTAATTAACATTTATTTTTTTGCTAATTCAGCATTTTTTAGTTTGTAAGTAGAAAGTGTGCATTATAATATTAATGAATATTCATGAAGAAATAAATTAACATACTATGTTTTGAAAACTTGATGCCTACACCTCTTCGAAACTGTTGTGCCTATATGTAATTTTGTTCGATTTAACCAAACGTAAAAATTTTGTCTACAGGTGAATTTTATTGGTAACCACCTTGATGAACTGTATTTGACACGGAGACGGTGTGTGTGTGCGTTGGCGCACCAGCTTGAATCTGCAGCTAACGATGGACAAGCGTGATGYGAAGACGCGATTGGTGTACGCACTGTTGTTCGTGTCCATGTTTTGCGGCGAACAAATCACTGCCGATTTCGGTAAGTACAGTTTTAAGAAAGTTTTGTGGTGACGACTCCAAATTTAGCGATTACACGGAAGGGTGTGCCGGGGCGAAGATTGTAGTCCCAAAGTTTTCCTCGTCCAATACATCAACACCGATACACTTCGATATTATAGTCAATGAAGGCAGTACACCTGACGCGGTCTTGGTGGTCCTGCTGTATACRAAGGGTTGCGAAAAGGGATGTAAAAGGGTGGGTAAAAGTAAATAATGACGATCGTAATACGATATTGTCATAGTATACATAGGCGTGTCTTACGTTTATATTATGATATATTATATATTACTCTATTAGTAAACTTTGAGACGATTCTGAACACTCGTCGTTGTTTTAACCGAATTATTATGCCAACCCTGTAACCGTCGTTTCCGTCTTACAAATATACAACATAGACAATTTTCGTACGGTAAAACTAATGTTTTGTTGCTAGCTTTAACATAATAGTGAATTAAAATGTTGCAGGTAATCATATTTAAAAGT